TTCCTGCTGAATTCCCATAGCCTAGAAATGAGGTTAGTGCCTATGAACAAAGTCCTTCAACCAGTGAATAAACTGTGGTATATCCATGCTCAGCAATAAAAAGGAACAAATTACTATAGATTACACAGCAACAAAAATCATCTAAAATCCATTTTGCTAAATGAGAGAAGCCAGACACATAAGGTTATATATTGTATGATTCCCTTTTTAGGACATTCTAGAAAAAATAAAAACAAAAGGATGAAAACTATGGGTGTTACTTTTCTGTATCATGATTATACTGTTGGATATAGTATTTTAGGCATTTGTCAAAAGTTATAGCTCTGTACACCAAAAGAGTGAGTTTTATTATAAATAAAAGCATTTCTGGATTTTCCTAAAATTCTACTTAACTTACAGTCTGATAAGGCAACTGTTGACTAGAGAGAGCTTCAGCAGCCCCTTTTTAGATATGCCAGACACTCTCCAGTTCACCATAGGCCTAACCACACCCTATGTCTCCTACCTGGCCCACTTCCCTCATTTAGGTTTTCTGTCAGGCCCCTTAGGCATTTGAATTTGAGACTCTTGCCTTTTGAAGATAGCATAATTGTAGTGCCAATACCCCTAGTAAAGATCAGGAGCCTACACTGTTCCAGCAACCTTGCCTGACTCTTCAGGCTGGGTTAGGCAAGCCATTCAGAAGTTCCCTAGCGCCCACGCATGGCTCCATTATATTGCTCTTCAGAGTTTGTTGACATTATTTTTCTGTATTAGAATGCTATTGATTCCAAGTGGCTGAAGCTCAGTCCAGTTTTAATCAAATGGAGAAATGAATTGTTTCACGTGGCAGCGCTGGAGCTGGCCTCAGGGACACACTCCAGTTTCCTCAGGATCCTCTCTTTCCTGGGTCCTCTCTCATATCTCCATTCTCTTGCATTGGTTGTCCCCAGGAAGCTGGAAGAAAGACTAGGCACCTCTGGACGTGTCTTCTTATAGCCTCATGGCCACAAAGGAAAGAGAGCTCTACCACATCTCCACCGGGGAAATTCTGAGATTGAACCCTGACTGGCCAGAGAAGAGATGTGCCGGTTTGGATAGTGAGATTTCAGATGACATGAGCACCATGTGCTTGGAGTTAGCAGGACAGACAGCTGCTGGTTTCCATCCCCAAAGTAAGGCATACTGCTCTAGGCTGATAAAAGATCACACTTGCTACCCTGTCTTTATTTCCCATTAGTATCTCCTATCTTTAAGAATAGATCCCATGTCTTTGATTTCTCTGTCTAATACAGCAGTATCTGACACAAAAAGACCTTTAGAAAATATTTTTAAATGAATGTTGAATGAAGAATGAAGTTTAATTTGTCATAATCCTACACCTTGGATTTTCTAGAGCAATCCCAATTTCATAAAATATGATTATTTTTATTAAGATGATTCTTTAAATTCATAAATAATCTTATATTTTTAAACTGTTTTATAAAATTAGTTAGAAATTGTATTAATTACTTGGCACACACTCTATTGGTTTTGGTTTAGAAAGTCTGGCTTTTTTGTTCGTTGTTTTTTTTTTCTTTTACCCACAAATCCCTTTAACATATTCTCTAGACAGCTCTGTGCTGTTGGAGGCTGACCCTTTGGGCTGCATCTCCCATGATACTTTCTGGTGGGCATCCATTTGGCTCGGTTAATGGGAGCCATTGCAGGTCACATTATATCAGAGGAAAGGAGAAAGTGAGAGTGGAATATTTCTTCCCCCTCTCTCCCTATTTCATGTGTTTCTGGCTGTGCCTACTTCCTTCGTTACTACGACTCACAGGGGACAGCAGCTCCTCCACACTGAACTTCAGTCACAGTGTCCATTCAGGCTTACAGACAGTGCCAGCTTTCTTCCATTGCTGCTTCTGCAAACTTCACCTTCAGGCGTAGCCCCTACATTTAAGCCCCGTTATATGAAACAAGTGGGGTGGATAGGTGCTGCTTCCCTCTTAGACCTTGACTGAACTACTAGCTTAACCCTAGCAGGTATAATTTGCCAGTTAGGTCATTCCAATAGGTCAGAGGGCCTTTCTCTGCTGCACACTGAAATTACCTGGGGAACTTCAGGACAGACTGCTGCTGGTTTCCATCCCCAGAATTTCTCATGTCATCAGGATTTAAAAATCTATCCAAGCCCTTCTCATGTGAGGCCAAGGCTGAGAAGCATTGCTCTGATTTATGCACCTCCTGTACAGAGAGATTTTCAGCATACAGTCACACCTTAACATAATGGACTAATTCAGGTGAGGGCATGTCTGTTAATGCTGAAAGTATGTTATATGGTAAAAGTAGGTTTTCCAAATGCATATGTTAAAAAAATTTTTTTTTCAATATATTTTATTGATTTTCCACAGAAAGAAAGGGAGAGGGATAGAGAGCTAGAAACATTGATGAGAGAGAAACATCTACCAGTTGCCTCCTGCACACCCCCTACTGGGGATGTGCCCACAACCAATGTACATGCCCTTGACCGGAATCGAACCTGGGACCTTTCAGTCCACAGACTGACGCTCTATCCATTGAGCCAAACCGGTTTCGGCCATATGTTAAAAAATCGACAAATTAGTTAGCTTACCTGCTTTTACTTATGTAGACACATTTGTGTAATTAAAATTAAGAATGGATGAAAAGTTTAATTTCACAAATTTTTCTATGTGTATTACTGTAATTTTAAATTTATACTGGATAGACCTAGTAAATGTGTGCATTCTCCAATTACCATGAGTAAACTAAAGTACATAAACGAAAGCTGAAACATGGCATCAGCTGGTACACATTAAAACTGCTGCAGAAAGTCACTCTAAGCAACAATAGAACCAATTACTACAGGTGCTGTGGTGTGACCACATGCTAATCATTCACTGAACAGTGTTTACAAGTGGTGACCCTTGGGTTCAAATATGTAGAACCCAAGAAGATATGTAATATTTACTTATGTCAATGAAATGACTACAGTGGTTTTTTCAACATATGGCCCATTTGCTAAAATTTGTTAAAAATAAGTGAATAACAAAAAAATAACCTGTTTATTATAGGCAAATGTTGGTTAAAAGCATTTTAAAATTAACAGGGTCTTAATTTTCACATATGACATACAGACCAGTAATTTTGTCCATTAAATCTGAAGTCCAAAGTCTATTAAATCAAGATCTAAAAAATTGAGGGTTTACTGTATAATTAACATTCAACCATACAGTTGACTCTTGAGCAATATGGATTTAGACTTTGTACATCAACTTATATGATTTTTTCAATTTATCCTCACAGTTCAACCTATTCAAGGGTCAGCTGATGGTTGAGAATCCACATATGTAATGAACTGCCTTAAGTTCTATGCAAATTTTCACCTGGGTGGGCAGTTGGTACCCCTAAACCCCCACATTGTTCAAGGGTCAATTGTATATGATTCATTGTGATGTATTTATTGATTACAAATTATTGTTGTCTTTAGTTTAAAGTAATGTTATTTTTCTACTCATTCATGAAAGCATTTTTAAACAAAATACAAGTTTAAAGACTTATTCTTCCACTAGAGACCCAGTGCATGAATTCGTGCACCTTGAAAGGAACTGTAGGCTGCGAGGCTGCAGTGAGCCCAGGGGCAGGTCTTGGTCCATCCTCTGTGCCCCTGCCTGGCCCCTCCCACCACCACCCTCCCTCCCCCATCCCCTTTCTAGCAGCAGCCCCACTCCCACCAGTGCTGCTCCCATGTGTTGAGGCACTGGCCTTGCTTGCACCTACTGACAGCACAGAGCAATTGGGGGTGGCACCAGCAGTGGGTGCAAGTAGTGGCTGCTAGCCTCAATTGCCCCTCAGGAGCAGGGGGATGTGTAGAAGCCCGGAGGGGTGATTTGGGCGCAAGTAGGGCCGGTGCCAGCAGCAGGTATTAGCACTGAGTGGGACCGCAGCACGCAGGAGCAAAGAACTTTCAGTAATTGCCAGAGGCTCACCCTGACGACAGCGACTGGCACTTTGCCTTGGTCTAGTGTCCCACTCACCTGCTCCATCATCCCCTGCTATATTCTACTCTCTGCTGCTGACACCTGCCATGTTCCATGTGCACCCCTTGGTGGTCATCACACATCATAGCAACCAGTTGTTCAGTTGTTCGGTTTAGTCATATGGTCTATTTGCGTATTAGGGTTATATACATATAGATTGAAAGACTTGAAAGACATAGGCTCTGATATTAGTTATAATATAAAACCCAATCATAAGTTATTTCTAGGAATACACAGAGACAGTTTCAAAGCAAGATTGGAAATTAAAAGCTATGTACACATATAATACCTTAATAAAAAAAACAAAAAACAAAAAAAAGATTGGAAATTAAGGCAAAGCAAACATATACTAAGAAAATACAAAGGGAAAAATATAAAGTCAGCATTAATATCAACTAAACTGTAACTCAAGGACAAAAAAATTAACAAGGTGAAAGAGGAAAAATGTAATGAGAAAAAATTAATCAATGAACAAGTTGTATATAAGTCATAAACATTAATAGATAAACAATATAGCAAAATCCCAGAAATATAAGCAGATACTGATGAAAAAATTTTTACTGTGGAATGTTTTTCAGATCATTCTTTCAGATCTTGAAAGTTCAAGTATATAATTAAAGAACAGATACAAGGGGTCTGAGAAATATAATAAACTATACATTTTTTCTTTTCTTATATTTATGTAATATACAAATTAACTCTTTACTTGGTATAAGAGAAAACTTTGCTAAATTTCCCAAAGCAGTTTTTTTGTACTTTCAAATACAAAATTAATATTAAAAATATTTTTAATCCTGTAATTATTAGAAAATTAAGAAACCTCTTACACTTAATTTCTGTTTCAAAGAGTAAGTCTAAATTAAAATCACAAATTAAGTACCCAATAGAGAATAGGAAAATACTTAATTTTTTTTTTTTTAAGCTTCAACCAAGGATATTTTTAGAGAAAACGAAGGGAGGAGGAGAGACAGAGATACAGTTAAGAGCTTTGTTGGGGTATGGGGCAGGGATTTATAGCCTTGAAAGAAAACAAAATTAGACAAAGTCATGAATATATTTGGAACAATTTGGATATTGTTTCTCTTTGATTTTTTATAAAATGGCCCCACAGGCCCTTTCATTGATTTTCAGATTTTCTTCACTTGGACTGTTTTGCTTTTCCATCTCTTTGTCAATGCGATAGTAAGAGCGAATAAAGCGATGAAGAATTTTTCTGTCTGAAATTACGAAGAAAAATAGGATGAAAATTTCCATTTAACTACTTAAGTGCTAAATAGAAAAATTCTAGGAGAGAGGCAAATATCTTTTAATAGTACTCTATGTACAAATTTGATGAAACCAAAGTAATCAAAGAATATTATGTGTAATGGCTAAAAAGGCACAGTTGTGTGATTACTGATTAAATAGAGCAAATAATATTCAAGGGATTAGCAAGTTTTTATGGAAAGAGCATGGGTTTGAGAATGAAACAGATGTAGGTTTCAGTTCTGCACTGGCAAGTATTAGCAAATCATTTGACCTCCTTTTTTATTTTCTTATCTTTGAATACAGGCAAGAGTAATTACCTTACATAGGTGTGGGGATGGTTAGGAATGCTGTGTGTGAGGCACCTAGCCAGTGCCTGGTCCATAAAGATATTCAATAAATACTATAGCTTTACCCTTTTATCACTGGGTTCATAGTAGTACATAGGGATGATAAATAACAGAGACCATTATTCCAAAAGTTCTCTTGAAGCCAGGGCTGTTTTTCTTTCCACCAATGTTGGTAGGCTTTATTTTTTTTGAGTGTTAAATGACTATGAGAAGGCCCTTCAGTTCTCCTGTCTGAAAACAAAGAATCTTGCCTGGCCTGAATATCTGTGGTTCCCTAGTCTTAATTATGTATTTTTAAATAGTACAGAGTGGAGCTGTAAAACTTTGCTCAGGCCTAGCAATTGTCACCTGTGCAACTCAAACCAGAAGAATCTAAAGAAAGGAATAATGCAGTGGTCACATGTTATTATGGTCAATGTTTCAAAGCCATTGAGATCTGATCTATAGATCAGATGTTTGTTTGTGTGTGCACATGTTCCTGTTTTCTCTCCAATTAGGCTTATATTTATTTGTTTTTGTGATCTCACATTTAATTTTGAACCATCACTATCCTATCCAGACCTTTGGACCCCAACATTTTTTTAAATTGAAATCTCACACTTTTTGAAAATTTATACTTTATGAAAAGTGTAATGTACTAATCTTCCAGTGGCTTGACACCTGCATATGTATAATTCACACCCATATTTTAGGGTAGATCATGTCCACTGCCTCCCCAAAAACCTATCATACTCTGTCCCAGTCAATACCTCCAGCCCCAAGATAGTTAAGATTCTAGGATCTCCTTCCTCATAGATAGGTTTTGCCTGTTGTAGACATTAGAATAAATTGAATAATATAAAATATATTATTTGGTATCTGGCTTCTTTTGCTCAGCACACTGTTTTTGAGGTTCATAGCTGCTGTTGAATATATCAATAATTCATTCTTTATTAGCTAGTAGTACTTCATTATGTGGGTATATCACAGTTTGTTGATGATGGAGATTTAGATTGTATCCAGTTTGGGACTATCAAGAATACAATGGTTCTAAACATGTTTGTACACGTCTTTTTGTGGGCCTTGATTTTTTTTTTTTTTTTTGGGCGGGGGGTTGGGGGGTAGGACGGGGAAGTAAGTATGTAGAAGTGGAATTTCTGGATCATAGAGTAGGTATATATTGAACTTTATGAGAAACTTTCATATCTCTTTTCAGAGTAATTGTACTATTGTACAACTACTAGCAATGTATTGCTCCATGGTGCCAATATTGGCTACTGTCAGTCCTAATTTTTAGCCTAAAATGTCTCTGTATTTTAATCTTATATCAAATAGTTGATTTTAGGAGAAACAAAAAATATCTTTGATACCAAAGATAAGCATATAAGATGAATCAAGTTTGGCATAAATTAATAAAAAGGATGAAATTGTGTCAAATTTAATGGCAATTTAAAACTGATCAAAAAGGCTGCCAGTTGTAATCCAAATGCTATCCCCATTTATTATGCATAGATGCTGATTTAGACCCTAAGATTTTGATTATGCTGTTCCATCTTCTTAGGAATAGCCCTACTTCTCCTTGTCACCCAATTCATCCTTGTTACACAGAGGAGGCCTCCTCTGAGCAGCCTTCCCTAACTACTGTCAGCCCAATGGGTTGGGAGTACCCCTCACAGGCTTCTACTGGACCTACAGAGTATTTGATTGACAAGCCATGGTAACTATGCATTGTCTCCCCCTAAGAAGGAGGGTTTATTTTTTATGTATCTTTGTAACAAGTGAGTGTTATAGGTATTCAATTAATAATGCTGATTGAATGAGTAAATAAATGCATTTTTAACAATACTGAATACACCTTAGGAAGAAAATCCCTTTGAATAGCCATATTCATAGAAGTTTTAATTGGAGGAACAGATGGGGGTCAGGGGGAGAATATTAGCTGAAAATTCTGAAAAGCAGATTTCAGATAATTTTGTCTTTCAAGGGGGAGTAAGTGGGGAGATGACTGTCTTTACTAATATATAACAGAGGCCCAAAGGATAAGCTGCTCATGTTTGCATCACTTGAAGATTAAACCCATTTTGAGAACAGAATGGCCACTACAGACATCTAGTTCAATTTCCTCAAGTTGTAAATACAGAAACTCAATACCAAAGAGCTACACATGGAGTTAGCAGAACAAAAAGTTCACTATCAGCTGCTGCTCCTTCCTCCTTCTCAGGCTTTATTTTGCGTCTTCCTGGAGTTTTCCCAGTCCCCTGTCACCCCGCCACCTCCCCAGCCCCTGACTTAGGCCATTATACTGATCCTTCCCCTTTCTCCTCTCTCCTTCAAACTATACCTGAATGGGCTCCTGTGCTAAGAGGTATAATTCCATAAAATAATTTACGCTGTGGTGATAAATCGGCCTAACATACCTGCCCAGTTTGCATTCTCTTGCATTCCTGGTCAGCTCTGACACAAATGAGCTCTGCTGAGATATTTGCCAGCTGAAAAGTATTAGTGTCATCCCAGACAGTGGACATGTCAAGAGGTTTTGGCTTTAGAATTCAAAGGGAGCCTCCTACTTGCTTGTCAGCCTCTGGCATAGCTGGCATTGATGTATAGGCCACTCCAAAGCAAAGCTAAGAAAGAAAAACTAGAACCCACTAGAAGCAAATCTTACATGACTCAAGTCAGTGCAAAATGGCAAGGCTGCAGGGCCTGAGCATTGGGGTGCCTGTCCTCTATGCTGTCCCAAGGGAACCAGGGAAGCAGGCCAGCTAAGAAGAAACCAATACTTAGACTGGCCCCAAAGCTACCTTGTCATGTCTCAACCATCCAGGGAGAAAAGCTCAACCGGGGACAGTATTTCCGTGAAGGATCAGTTTACCCAAGGAAGTGGAGCAGAGGCTAATCCAAGTGGAGCAGAGGCTGCCAGAGCACTCTAAGGAGTTTTTATTCACACTCAGGACACATGGCTGAGGCTCTGATTGCAAATGATACACAGACAAGAACAGAGGGGACCTGCAGCCTGCATGGTTTCCATGTGGGCAGAGAAGGGACAGCTCCATCTGTGTCCCAAATTCTGGGCAGATGGGAGCATCTGCTTCTGGAAGACAGAGATACTCAATCTACAGGGTCAAACAGATGGTGGCTTCTATAGGTTAGTGGAACCCTGATAAAATGCAGATAATGGTTTTGTACATCTGAACCAAAACTGGCGAAAGGCTCAAGAGCAGGCTTGGCCCACTGCACACATCTGCTCTGCTTCCTGGGAAGATTTGAGCAGTGGACTCTTTCTTTCAAGGAGCCCCTCCATGTCTTTCTGAGTGTCAGACTGGCCCAGAGGCATTTGTTAACAGGAATGAAGTTCCCGATGGGAAGTACAGACTTTTGCTTCTGCCTTAGAGCAAGGCAGGACATCTGTTACTGGTACCTTTTTGAGACCAACACTCAAACTCTTTTAGGGGCCTTTGGGAATCAGCCCTTAGTCTGTGAGGAGGGGAGGTTCCCCTAGCCCCCAGATACACACACACACACACACACACACACACACACACACACACAAAACAACCCAGAAAGAAGTTCACTACAGACTGATTCATATGCCTCTTAGCATAACAATTATAGCTTGTCTCATTTTTTATTATTATAAGTATATTTCCAGTAGGACATGATCTCACTCATCTAGGGGAAATGGTGAACAATATAGACTGATGACCAAGAACAGACCCAGAGATAAGGAGCCAAGGGTCAGACTGTTGGACCTCAAAGGGAGGGTGGGGATAAAAGGAAGAGATCAACCAAAGGACTTATGTGCATACATATGAGCCTAACCGGTGGTCAAGGACCACAGGGGGTGGGGGCATGAGTGGGGAGGTGGGGGATTGGAATGGGGGTTGAGGACAAATATATAATACCTTAATCAATCAATAAATTAATTAAAAAACACACACCATATAACCAAGCACACACACACAAGCACATTCACACACATATCCCCTTTTTAGTCTTGCCTCCAGCAGGGTTTCAGTCTGGTGTGGGGCAGCAGATCCATGAATAAAAGAGTTTCATCCAGGATTTCAGAAGAAGCTCTTCTGATCATGGCTGCTGACAGAAATTGGGGACTCAAGAGAAGGTGGAAGGTTAATGAGCAGCTGGTAGAAGTTCTCCTGAGTTCAAGCCTGACCACAGGACATGGAACAAGGCAGTGACCACCACTGCCCAGAACACAGGTAGGGTGAACGAGATGGTCCACTGGGTGCAAGGAGAAATACTAGAACTTCCATTATGTTTGTTCTTATTTTCTCCTTCCACATTTTTTTCTGATTTATAATATACATAATACATTAGTTTAGTGGTATATGTATACATTTTAAATAAATATACACGTCTTCATTGGATATGTGCTTAAAAATGAGGAGTAATAGGGCATCAACACTAGCATTGGGTGCTGAGAGGCAGCTGTCAGATGAGTGTCATTTCCTCCCCTTCATTCTCTGAGTTCACGCTTTCCATGTTTGGACTGGCCAGTTGCCCTGAGATGCTCCCTAGTAGATTCCTGTCACTAGGCCCCAAGCTGGGATAAGTCCCTGTTAGGTGGAGGGGTCAACAAGGTACTGGGAATGGCACTTGCTGTTTTTGAGGATATGACATGTGAAAATATTCATGTACTCTAAAATGCCTGTCACAGTAAAGTACTACCAAGGAAATAAAGACTACACAGAATAAAATAAATCCATGAGACAGTACACACAGCAACTGGAGAAAACCATTAACTTTAAGCAAAAGTCACTCTGAAACAATTCAGCCACAGGCAAGTAAGGTCAGAAATGAATGAAAAGCTCTGTTTTCTTTTTAATAAGTGGGAATATAGTTACTGGGGCCTCTTTTAAGGAAAATTTAATTTCAATGGGTTGAAATTTGCACAAAAACTATGGATTTTTTAAGCAATATTTTTTTTTTCTTGTGACTATTTAACTACAGTGTTTGGAAGTTGGAATAATTTCTATTTGGTGTAAAACAATGTATTATGACCTGTAAATTCATGAACAAGTAACTCAAGGCCTCATCTTACCTTTGCAAGGGACACTTTGCAGGTACTCAGCTATTTGTGAGGGAGTAAATGAGTTCAAGATCATTAAGAAATCCAGGTAGGCTTTCCCGTAGTCACTCTGGTAGATGGTCTGCTTCTTTGTGCAGTCCTGATTCTTAATGTGGCTGTATAGCACGGAAGGGACTAGGGAGACACCAGGGAAGAAAAGACACAGAGGTTGTCACCAAGCAAGGCACTTATTGGCTGAGCACGCCCGGACAGCCCTGAGTCCAACCTGTCTACTTAATGGTGCTGGAACGGGAGGCATTGTGTGAGAGGCTCAGCAGGCAGAGTGGCTGGGACTTAGCACTGTTGCTGTGGGAATAGGAGGAGCTGGAATTGATGACCAGAAGGTGGAGTTTGACCACTAATTTCAGAAAAGAAGTTTTCCCTGGAACCAAATTTTCTGCAGGTCAGCATGTTAGGATGATAGCATTCACCTACTGCTTCATTTCCCTTTCATGCCATCTCCTGGGCAGACTGGGACTCACCCATAAAGAGGCCTCCACCAGGTGCCATAGGAGCAGCAGTTTGGAACAAGGATGGCATGTACAGTCAGCACTCATTGCACATTCAGACTAATGAAGGTGTGAGGTGAAGGCCACTTACATTTGATTCTGAACATTGCTCATTGAATGTAAGTTCTAGTAGTCATGGAGTTACCAAAAATAAATAAATAAATGAATAAATAAATAAATAAATAAATAAAAGCAATTAAGATGATATGAGAATCTGTCCACAATTTGTCCAATCTTTGTAAACCAGAACAACTTAAGTACTGCTTCAGTTCTAAGTTGCCTCCTTGAAATGAACCATTGGCCAGATGGAGGGACTGGGTAGGTGAGGGGATTGGACACTACATCTGAGAAGTATTTTTAGGTTCTGAAAATGTTTTTAGTGCAGGAGAATTAGAAGCCATGTACTAAGGTTTTCATAGAACAATAGATTTATACTCTGTGGGAAGAAGAATAATTTGCTAGAAGTTGAGCAAGGAAGATTCTAACTGTTCAGGACTTTCAAACAGTTAAAATATCTAAGAACAAAGGCATTCCTTGGGAATGAGTACTCCTCTGAAGAGTCTGAGCAGGGATGATATCATCCCTTGGCAAGTATGATTTAGCAATGACTCACATAGGAAGGGAGAATCTAGAACAAGTCACTTCTCGGCTACCTTCTAACCCCAGATGCTGAGCGTCTGTTCTGTGATTTCTGTGTAAAGTACTCCTTGGTCCCAACTTTATGCCAGGAATAAATCACTATCTCAAAATGACACTCTGTTCTCAACCAACAGCGTGGAGGTGGCTGGGTCACAGAACTTTTTCTGTTAAAAGCAATAGAAATCTCAGTCACATACACACACACCTCTTAAATATGAAGATGCTTGAAGGGTGTGTGCCTTGTGGCTAAACTTTCAGTGAATAATTGACCAAACAATTTTGCTATAAATTTATAGAAACTGAATCTTTCCTTTCATATTATAATGGAGGGAGATGTCCCCCAATCCCAACACCTGTCCCTCCCAGGCTGAGGATGACTCTTCTCTTGGAATAAGCAGTAATTTCTCTTTGAGACTTACTCATTTCCTGAATTTGAGGTGAGGCACTGTGGAGGCGTAGTTTTAATTCCATGCAGGGATTACTAGCATTCTCTGAGACTCTTATTAAGATTAAAAGGAATCTTTAAGCAAGAGCATAACATCTATGAAGTTGCTTAATTTTTGTTTGTTTTTCTTTTTTGTTAGCAGCAGCAAAATTCAGTGATAGATGGACTCCCCCTAGCAGGGAGAGGATCCAAGTAGGTTGCCCTAAAGTTGCTTGAAAACTATAGGTGAGCCGTAGTTGGTTTGGCTCAGTGGATAGAGCATCACCCACAGACTGAAAGGTCATGGGTTTGATTATGGTCAAGGGCATGTACCTAGGTTGCAGGCTCAATCCCAGGCCCCAGTCAGAGTGCATGAAGGAGGCAACCAATTAATGTGTCTCTCTCACATCAATGTTTCTCTCTCTGTGTCTCTCCCCCTCCCTTCCACTCTCTCTAAAATTTAATGGAAAAATGTCCTTGGGTGAGTATTAACAATAACAAGAACAAAAGTGAAAGCAGATGAGAAGTAAAAATTTTTTAAAAGCTACATGTGAAAAATAAAATAAATAAAAGCTACAAGTGCACTTACCTAGGCCCTGAGAAGCAATTGGTAGCCTTGAGTAGCCTCCATATTTGAAAGTAAAATCCTGAAACTCAGGAATTTTAGCTGGAACTTGGTAATTGCGTCGAAATTCAGTGTCTGTGGGGTGGGAAAGTAACTTTTTCCATTCCAGAAACATATGAGAACTTTGCTTAATCTTCTGAGCTGGGGTGGGGTTGGAAACGAAAGGCAATGATTACTCCTACTCCTAGTTAGTTATTTCTAAATAGCGTCATATTTTCATTCCATTTAGCCTCTGGCAGTAGCTTCCACTTTATCACACTAAACCTCACTCTTTTTATATTTAGTGGTATGGTCAATTTCAACCAAGAAATTATGTTCTGCTTTATCAGGCACAGGAAGTATATGCTCAAGTGATTAGAAGCAGTTTCTAATGAATACTTGTTTTGTTGGTAAGGAGTGCTCTTTGTTCTCAAGAGGCATTCCTCACTCCAGCAGGCCTGCCTTGTCCTTGTGGCAGGGTTAGGGAGCAGGGAGAGGTGTTTTAGATAGGGCTAGGATTGCCATATAAAGCATAGGATGCCAGTTAAATTTTAATTTTAAATAATGTATAATTTTTTAGTATAACATTAGATAAGTACTCTATTTATATACTTTATATCATTCAAATTTAACTGGACATCTTATATTTTCATTTGCTGCACCTGGCAGCCCTAGATGGAGCATTGCATATCATCCCCATTACCTGGAAAGAACCACTCAAAGCTTATCCCTTACTGATGGAGGGTTAGGTAACATCATTGTTGTTAGTGGACAATACCACTATTATTTCTTTGAAATAACTCTGCTAACAAATATTTTATAATCATCATCTATAATCATTAAATATTTATTAAGCACTAATTGAATGCTAGGTTCCATAAGCACTCGACCAGATTCTAGAGGAGATGGTCATAACCATCTCACTTAGATGAGTTCACCTTTAATTCTTGCTACAAAATGTTAGTTCAGATGTACACACCCCCAACTTTATTCAGGAAAAAGATGTTAAAACCATGGATGTCACAAACATTGTCCAAAGAGTGTCAATTACTATTGAAACTAAAGTCAATTCTTGTTCCCAATTAGTTTTTTTTTTATGTCTCCTTCTTCCCCCCCTCCCACCCCCGCCGGCCAACTGATCACCCCCCCTGCCACTCTCATCCCCCAGGATAAGCCCCCACCACCCCAGTGTCTGTGTCCATTGGTTATACTAATATGCATGCATACAAGTCCTTTGGTTGATCTCTAACCCCTTCCCCCTGTCTTCTCTCTGAGGTTTTTCAATAGATCTTTTCAAAATATATTCAAATGTACATTGTACATCATACATACATGATGTCATCTACTGGCACCCAGGAGCATTTTATTATTGATTTTTAAAAAATTATCTCTGTATAGATCAGCATGCATTTAATTTGTATGACTCAGGAAGAGAGGATGTGGGTGGGTACTCAATGCTCCTCATAATGAACCTATAAGTTGCCTTAGGAGAATACAAGGTTATAGAGAGGAGGAAACTCTAGAGCTCAAAATCAGAGATCCTTAAAATACTTTAGAAAATCATCTGGCACTGTTCCTAACACCATCTATAACTTGGATTTTATAAATTACTAAGAGCTTCATAGGAGAAAAACAAATTCCTGTCAAAATTCTTGATGTTCCTACTCAAAAGCAAATGTGTTTCATTCCTATATGTGTGCCATGCCAAGGTTAGAGATAATTAAGCCAATGTTCTACCTTAAGATAACCTCAAATAAGTATGATTAAAAAGATAGATACAGTACAAACACATTTGGAATGTGATGTCTTGCAAGCATAACACTTAGAACAATAATTATCACATGAAGATCATGCATCAGAAATAATTGGGATGATTTTTCCAAATTATATCTGCTGAACCTCATCCCAGACATTGAGAATCTCTAGCACAAGGGAACCAGGCACTTAGTATATTGTGAACAATCTTCTCATATGATTAAGAATCACTGATTCAGAGCCTTGAATAGGTGCTACAGAAGCCCAGAGAGAGGGTAATGAGCTCTATTATTGAAAGGGAAGGAAGATGAGAATTAAAAGGCAGACATAATAAAAGGAGTGTTTGACAAAGAACCAAGACTGAAGCAAAAAGTGCAGTGTATTCATAAAATGTAGTCTGTCGGCCGGGAGTGGAAGGTATGCAGGGTGGAGAAAAGCAGCTGAGGGGGAAGCAGGAGAGATAAGTTGGGAACCAGGCTCTGAAGGTTCTGGAGGGCTTAGTTTATGTACACCAGGATGGACCAACACAGAAGTAGAGCAATTGGTGATGAAGACCCAGAAAATACAATAATTGGGGCTGAGACTTACCCAGAGTTTCTTTAAAGAAAAAGATTATGTTATATTCTTTACTGATCCTTAGTACTTTTTACAGTAATAGACCTCTTTGAATATTTACTAAGTTAATGAGTGAACAAAAGAAAAATTAGAACATAATTGCTATTGATTAGCAATTAATCTGAAACAAACACTAGTGACTGCCTATGTAATAAATGCATAAAATAATTCTCAGTTATTAATTCTCAAAGAATGCTTTCATTGCCTTTATAAATGATTTTCTTCAGCATTATTAAGGAGAGAAGTTCCTGATACAAAGGGGCCTAACTAACACCTGAATTCCCTATAGTGATAACTGAAGTATGTTCAGACAAGACTTCCTGGCCCAAAGCTAACCACCCCTCCAAGGCCAGGATCATCCCTCTCCTCAGGAGCTCAGGTCCCACTAGTTTCTTTTCCATTTGATAATGGTAACAAATACTACATCACTTAGAGCCCAAAGAGACAAACTGGCTCCTTTAAGATTAGGTGTGACATCTGTTGAAAGATCCAATCCAAAAGTGAACCTACAGCAAGGACCATTTAAAACCACTAGGACCCTTAGCACATAATCTATAGCCAAGTGAGAACCAATTCTGTTGCTTTTATTTACTATTCTAAGTCATCTAACCAGAATTCTCCAAGCCTGAATTTTTTGAGGAGAAAGTACTTTTTAGTGATTCTTACTTGTTTACCATAATTTAATTATGAGTACACTCAGGTAATTTGTGATCCCTGAGCTTCCAAAACTTAAATTATTGCATGAGAGAAACAAATACCAAAAAAGAGATAGTTACAATACAATGTGAAAAATGCTGTAGAAGAGGAATTATAATAACCTATGGGAGAGCCATTGATCCAAACTTGGGGGATGAGAGAAGATTCTTGGGAGAAAAATCAGCTTGCATTTAGACCTAAATGGTGAATGGACATGGGCTAAAAGAAGAAAGGGAGAGGCAGTTTACAGAGAAGCAGCAGTGTGTTTGAGGTGTAAGGCTTGGTGAGTCTGGAGGATGGCTTGGTGAGTCTGGTAGATGGAAAGTGATCACATAGTGTGGGGACTGGTGAGGGGAAATGCTGGAGCAGTGGGCAAGGACCAGATTGCACAGGACCCTGATGACAATGGGGAGCCCTTGAAGGATGTTAAAATAGAAAATGGTATAATTTATACTCACTTTGACTATACGATGGAAAATAAACTAGAGGAGACAAAACCAGAAAAGTGAGTTGGATTAGAGGTCATTCAAGGGAGAGATATTGGTAACCCGAACTAAGGCAGTGGCTATAGGAGAGAGAAAAGCAAATGGAATTAAGAAATTTGGAGGGTGTCTTGACAAGTCTTTAGCATTTATTTACATAAGAAACACATGGTAATTTGTGCATACTGAAAGGACAGCTTTGATTGGAAGCCCAATGACATTTTTAAAAGAATTCTGACATTTCAAATGCTTTTCCATGACCCTTAATGCTTATCTGCAATATGGAGATATTTTGATTTTATTTCCTTCCTAACCAGAAATTTATTTAGTGCAAACTTGAACCAAAGAAGTTCTGGTTTCCAGTATACCAATAACAGGAGAAGGGTGTAGGGAGATTCTGGACCAGAGAAAAAGGAGGGATTTAGGAATAGAATGCCCAACAAGCAGGAAGGTCTTAGCCCCTTGCCCAGTACTGCTCTTAGAATACCAATAACAATGTTTACCTTTCTGGAAAAACTGACTGATCTACAAATATTGGCATTGGGGGTTTCCCAACAAAAGAGAGCTCACCACCTAAGTTAAGCACCAACCAACAAGCCCCATCTCTGTATGTAGATTCCAATCATATTTGAATACCACCCTTGTAGATTTTGTGAACCCTGTAGCTTAATATTTTAAGTAAATACAATTTAAGAAAAAAAGTCCACAAAAGTGAGACTTAAGTTTTATTAGCTTCATAATATATCTACCTTCACTCCCTTATAAATATGAACAAAAAAGCCCTTAGATTTTCACTAGACCATTAAGAAACAGAGAAAAATAGATATTAAACAAAGAACAGATAAAAGTACTAAAAAGTATATCATAAATATCCTAAAATTTATGAGAATTGCTGCATCATAAAACAAAAATAGCATATTATTTTTAGAAAATATTCAGAGAGGAGAAGAAAGAGAGCTTGGAAATTTAAAACATAAAGATTTGGATTAAAAAGTTGCTGAAACCAGTTTGGCTCAATGGATAGAGCGTTGGCTCAGGAACTGAAGGGACCCCGGTTCGATTCCGGTCAAGGGCATGTACCTTGGTTGCGGGCATATCTCCAGTAGGGGGTGTGCAAGAGGCAGCTGATCGATGACTCTCTCTCATCGATGTTTCTAACTCTCTATCTCTCTCCCTTCCTCTCTGTACAAAATCAATAAAATATATTAAAAAAATAAAAAAGTAAATAAACATTTTAATTAAACATGATAAAAATACAAAGAAAAAGATACTAGGAGAGGAAATTAAGAAAATTGAAGGATCAAACCAACTCATAGGAGTCCCAGAAGAGAACAGAGAAAAGAAATGGGAGAAAAATAGGGGAAAAGTATATGAGAACAATTTCTAAAATCAAAGGTCATAAGTCTCGAGATTAAAAAATCTCTGATTGTCCAACATAATAAATGATATTCTCACTAGTGCATGAAAACATGAAATTTTACAGTATCTGGAATTAAGAGAAGATCATAAAAACTTCCAGGAAAATATATGAAAGAATCAGGAATCAAAATGACATCAGTCTGTTATATAACAGTCCTTGGTGCTAAAAATCATTTGAGGGACTTGAGGGAAAATGATTATCATCTTAGAATTCTATACTCAGACAAACTATCAACAAATATAATGAAAGAAAAAAAGATATTTTCATTTTGTTCCTCCTACATCATCTGTAATAGTAAGCTACTAGAAGATGTGTTTTAACAAAATGAGGGAGGGGAAGTATGTGGACTCAGGAAATAAGATTCAGGGCAGGAAGAGAGCAAAGAAATGCCCAAATAATGAAAAAGTACCAGGACACAGTTGGGTGGCAAATTTACAGAGCAATTCTTCTAGATTAGAGGACATGGAAGGTATCAGCTCTCAAGTAAAATATCAAACTGATACAATGTCTGGAACTTTATTTGGGGAAAATCTTGGTAAATGTGTGACAAAGTATTTGAAAAAAATTAGTGACAGGCGTATAGAAAATTAAACAAATTTTAAAAAAAGGTTATTAATTCTTGTAGAAAAAAGTAAAAAGAAACATAATCATGAAATAACACCTGGTTCAGTGGTAAATATTATAACATATCATATTATAATCATAATATAACACCTAACATTTTAATTAACCAAAATTTTATAATATAATTATTTTGAGAAAATGGATGGAGGAAGAGTGAGGAAGAGTTATAGGAGAGACTAATCCTCAACTGCCATACAGTAAAGTAAATAATAATGCCTAAAATTGATGGACCAAAAAATAGCAATATGAACACAGTATTTTACAATACAGAGGATGACATAAGAAAAAAAACAGTTGAATGACTGAAAATCATTATCAATGTGTAGTAGGACTGGGCATGGAGGGATGGGTAAAGAAACTGCTGCTGTTCATTATGAGCTTGTAGGGAACTATCTGTAAGTGTATGCATGAACTCGTTTAATAAAAGTTCTAATTTTAAAGAATAGTAAATAAGCAGTTCAGAATTGAAAATAGAATGTTTAACTTAACACCTTCATCTTCACCTGGCTATTTGTCTTTGTCCTTCATCCCAAGAAGCCTTTCCTGGACTCGCTCCCCAGGTCGATCTAAATGTCACATTGTTCACACCTACAGCATCCAGCACCTCTCACAACATGCTGCATTTATACTTGTCTGTTTCTGTTGGTAAATTGCAGTTTTCCCATGTCTATCCTGTGAGTTACTTGACTCAAGAGATAACTGGGACTCTAGTCCCTAGTGCATTAGCAGTAAAGAAGAGAAATGGGCACACTTACCTTCAGCTCTGTCCACAAAGTCTCTCCTAGTATGGGAAATAAACTGATTAGATACAGCTTTCCTGACCTTGTCCATGGAAGCAGCAATTTTCCAAGGGAAGTAATTCTTCACTGTTGTTGAGTGAAATGGAGGTAGCGTCCAATGAAAGAAGTCCTATCAATAAAAACACTATTTTGTCCACAAAGTCTCTCCTAGTACGGGAAGTAAACTGATTTGATACAAGTTTCCTGACCTCGCTCATCGAAGCAGCAATTTTCCAAGGGAGGTGGCTCTTCACTGGTGTTGAGTGACTTGGAGGTAGAGTCCAGTGAAAGACGTTCTATGAATAAAAACACAATTTTCAAGAAAATCCACCTAGTGGTTCGTATGTTCATGCATGTGTGTACATATTCTTATAAGTCTTCTCAAGTTCAGCTAGATGTCCCATTGTGCCTGGCCACAGGAAGCACGCATTTATAAAGCTATCAGTTTACACAGGTAAACTTTATCATTTCCTTAACTTTTATGTTAATGAAAAATATATCATTGCAAAGTCCAAAGAACTGTGCCTCCAACTAGAAATATTCAGACAACAGCAAAGGAAGAGACGACCCACGAATTTTAGCTCTGGCCACAGGTAAGACAGCTGCTGTTTTGCCTTGGGAGCTCAAAGTCTTCTCTCCTATTTGTCTGCAAAGAGATTTATGATTATAAAACTTAGAACTTAACCTACCTCTTTCTGTCTTCCCTCTCTTCCCTTTTGCTTCCTATTCCCCTGAGAAAATAGAAGCCAACAAAGAGAACTTACACAGCATACCACATCACCTGCCAACTACTACATCTGTGCTGGCAGAGTTGCTTGGTCACCCAAACAGGACCTGACCCCACCTGGTACCCTAAAGCCTGCATTTAGTCTATGCCAGCACATTACCTAACAATTCTCACCTCTCTTGCAACTTCCATTCCTCTCTCTCTCCTGGGAGGTTGTCATCAGTACCCAAGCTGCCTTTATTTCTCCTATATTAAAAAGAAAACTCTCTCTTTGTCCTATTTCTCTTCTAGTTACTAAAATATTTCTCAGTTTGCCTTTACACTGAAATCCCTCAAAATATAAAGGATACCTACTGTCCCCTGTCAAATTTGTCTTTCAAGTCTCTTAATATTCAAGTTCTCTCTCAATCCCCTTCTTTCCCTTATAATTTCCCTATGTAAATTTCATTTTAATTTCCTCATTTTAAAATGAGGGCATAGGTAAGAAGTAGTTAGAAATAAATGTGAAAAGGTGGACAAAATAGTCTAAGAAGGACCATAACTGTAGATGATGAAGGATCTTTGTGATATATTCAAACTCTCAGTATTGGATTATTGATACAGCATTAAATTAAATAGATATGTAGGTATTATCTTACTTGACTGGAGTGAGAATTGTGACTCCCAATCTCTCTTGGAGTCCTAACTTTGAAAAAATCTTCTTTAGAATGTAGCTTCCAAATATACTCATCATTGTATTGTGTCCGATTGTGAAGAGAATCGCTAAGTGAATATGTATATCCTAATCTTCGGATACCTTTTTGACTACAAGAAAAGATAGTGTAAATTAGAGTAAGGGATTAACTAAAAAGTCTTACAATAGCACATATCAAATGATTTTAGTTGTTACATATTTTTTTAAAGATTGGCTGGCTTAAGACTCGGTACCAAAAAGTAAAAAGTAATTATTGGACATCAGAAATGGTGGTGTGAGAAAGCCCCTTGCCCTCTCTTCCTAAAATTTCAACAAGTTAACCAACTATAATTCAACAAGAACTCCCTTCTCAACACAGACACACTACTGAGAGATCCATGCATTGAAACATCTAAGGTGGGCAACTGGAAATAAATGGGAAACAAGAAGGAAGGAAGGAAGGAAAAGACAGCCTACAGATGCAACCCTGCAGCCTAATGGCTCAGCTGGCCAGGAGAGGGGAGAAATCTGGCAGCAGCAGGAGCTTCCTTAGGCCAGGAGGAATAGAGAGCTGCAGAGGGACAGCCCAGCAGGATAAGCATAGAAGGAGCAAACAATGAATTAACAGATGCCTGACAGAGAATAGGATTCCGCTGTGCACCTCTTTACTACACTATCAATCAGGACAGAGGTGGTGTTTCAGACAAAGAAATGGAACCACAGAGCCCTGCCACTGCTTGGACTCCCAAAACTTGCATCCTGTTGCCCTGTAGTTGGGTCCAGGAACATATTATCTGTAAACCAAGAACTATTACAGTAGAATGGCTATTTCCCCCTGTGACTGATCCCCAGGAGGAGAACTTGGGATGGGATCCCATGGAGGTCAGGGGTTGCCATTAGAGTGAGGGCAAAACAAACCCCATCCCCAAGCAGTGCAGCTGTACTATCTTATAGAATCCACAGATGTTCAAGACTGGGAGATCAGAATGGTAAAACATATTGTGATTCAGTACCATTTACTAGAAATAGTAGAAAGAACTCTTCAGAGATAAATGCATAAGCAAAGGAGGACAGCAAATACCATGGATAACCTCAGTACTATGATGACCAGAAAGAAAATGAACAATCTCCAGAAAGCAAGCTAAAACACATGGAAATATGTGATATAAATGATAGAGAATTCAAAATTGCAATTCTGAAAATACTTAACAATATGCAAAAAAAAAAAAAAATACAGACAAGCAATTCAATGCACTCAGAAAATAAATCAATGAACAAAATGAAAACTTTACCAAAAATATTAAAACTTTAAAAAAGAACCAATCAGAAATCCTGGAAATGAAGCATGAAATTAAAGAGATTAAGAGTAAACCACTGAGCATAGAAAACAGAGCTAACCAGATGGAGGAAAGAATTAGTGATATTGAAGATAGTAATCTAGAAATGAGAACTATCTGACTCCATCCAAAAAAAAAAAAAAAAAAATCAATACAATAATTATAGCCATTGCAGAGGAGGAGGAGAGAGAGCATGGAACAGAGAGTTTATTCAAATAAATAGTGAATGAGAACTTCCCAAACCTACGGAAAGAATTAGGTACTTGAATTTAAGAAGCAAACAGAGCAGAGCCTTTTTGGGTTACTTCAACTTCAAAAGGCCCTTTTCAACCCAAAAGGCCCTCTTCAAGACACTTCGTATTAAAGCTGTCAAAAATTAATAACAAAAAAAATTTATCAAATCAGCTAAGGAAATGAAGGAAAACTCATCAGAATTTCATCTGACATCTCAGCAGAAACTGCACAAGCCAGAAGAGAGTGGGAGAAAATATTCAAACATCTAAAAGAGAGAAATTATTTGCCATGAATAATATATCCAGTAAAATTATCCTTTAAGTATGAAGGAGAAATAAAAATATTCCCAGATATATAGCAGCTGAGGGATTTAATAACCAGAAAACCTCCATTGCAAAAATACTCAAGGAAGTTACCCTCCTGAAACAAAGAACATAGGTCACAATACTACAAGTAAGAGCACCAAAAATGTACAGCATATGCAGGGATAATTTGTGACAACAAAAACACTAAAGGGAAGGAGGTAAAGATCTGAACTGGCAAAGGAAGATAAAGATCAAATGCACTCACAGTTTAAAAAAAAAAAAGCTATGGTATAGATGCAAGTTTATTTTTTATAAACTTAATGATAACCATACAAAAAATCCCCAAACCACAACACATAGCTTTTTAAAAAAGAGGAAATAAGTATTAAATACCACCAAACAAAAACAACAGACCAAAATACAAAGGAAAAGAACCAATGGAAGCACAGAGCTAACAGAAAACAAGAGAAAAAACAACTATAGAAAATCCTCATACGTCAATAATTACATTAAATATAAATGGTCTGAATTCACTAATAAAGAGACACAGAGTAGCAGAGTGGACCAAAAAACAAAACTCAACCATATTCTGCCTATAAGAGACACATCTAAGCTGCAAAGACCAAGGTAGATTTAAAGTAAAAGGGTGGAAAATGACTCTCCAAGCAAATAGCATCCATAGAAAAACAGGTGTAGCCATACTTATATCTAACAAATAGATTTCAAGATAACAAAGATAATGAGAGACAAAGATGGATACTTTATAATGATAAAAGGGATACTACATCAAGAAAACATAACACTGGTTAATATATATTCACCCAACCAAGGAGCACTGAAATATATAAAACAGCTACTCACAGAATTAAAGGGGGAAACAGATCAAAGCACAACCATAGTTGGGGATCTTAATACTCCATTGACAGCTCTAGACAGATCAACCAAACAGATAATCAATAAAGAAATATCACCTTAAATGAAACACTAGACAAAATGAACATAATTGATGTTTATAGAACCTTCCTCCAGGAACATCAGATTATACATTCTTCTTCATTGCACATGGAACATTCTCAAGGATAGATTATAAGTTGGGTCATAAAACTAGAATCAAAAAATGTAAGAAGATTGAAATTATGCCAAGCATATTCTATGACCACAATGCTTTGAAATTAGAAATCAATTGCATAAAGGAGGTACAAATACATGAAGATTAAACAAAATACTACTAAAAATGACTGGGTCCATTAAGAAATAAATGAGATAAAAAGGTGTAGAGAGAAATGACAATGACAATACAACATATAAAAGCTTATGTGATGCAGCAAAATCAGTACTAAGAAGGAAGTTTATATCATTACAGGCCTTTCTCAAGAAACAAGATATCCCCCAAGTAAACAAACAAACACACAAACATCACATCACATTTTAAAGAATTAGAGAAAGGACAACAAAAGAAACCTAAACACAGCAGAAGAATGGAAATAATAAAAATTAGAGGAGTACTGAATGAAATAGAGAACAAGAAGACTATAAAAATTAATAAAGCAAAGAGCTGGTTCTTTGAAAAGATTAATAAAATTAACAAACCCCTAGCTAGACTCAATAGGGAAAAAAAAGGGAAAAAACACATATAAATAAAAACAGAAATGAGAGAGGATAAATGACCACAGATAACACAGATAAACAAAGGATCATAATCTAGAAGAAATGGATAAGTTCCTAGAATTATATAACCTTCCTAGTCTAAATCATAAAGAATTGGAAACTCTAAATAGACCAAGCAGTAGTGAGGAAATTGATACAATCATCAACGACTTCTTAAAAAGCAAAGTCCTGGACCAGGTGGCTTCACCAGTGAATTATACTAAACTTTCAAAAAATTAAAAACCTATCTATCTCAAATTCATCTAAAAAATTAAAAAAAACAGGAAATACTTCTTAACAGATTCTATGAGGTCAACACAATCCTGAAATCAAAACCTGGAAAAGATAACACAAAGAAAGAAACTACGGACCAATATCTCTGATAAATACAGATGCAAAATTTCAAAAAAAATAAAAATAAAAAATACTAGCAAATTGAGTATGAAAAAACATAAAAAGAAAATAATAATAACACATTACAATCAAGTGGAGTTCATTTCATGGGAATAAGGATGATTCAACATGCACAAATCAATCAACACCACATTAACAAAAGTATAAAAATCATATGATCTTAACAATAGATACAGAAAAAGCATTTGATATGATAGAACATACATTTATGATTTAAAAAACTAAATAAAATATAAATTGAAGGAAAGTATTTCTAATAAAGGCCATATATAATAAATCCTCACCTAATGGCAGAAAAATGAAAGGTTTTTCTCTAAGAACAGGAACAAGAGAAGATGACCACTCTCACCACTCTTATTCAACACAGAGCTGGAAATGCTATCCAGAGCAATAAGGTAAAGGAAAGAAATAAAATGCACACAAATAAAAGAGGAAGAAGCAAAACTATCACTTTTTGCAGGTGAGTATTCTGTATATAGAAAGCCCTAAAGATTCCACCAAAAAACTATTGAAAAGAATAAATAAACACAGTCAGTTGCAAGATACAAAATCAATATGCAAAAATTCATTGCCTTCTTGTATACTAACAATAAAACTTCAGAAAAAGAAATGAAAAAAATATCCTTTTGCAATTGCAACCAAAATAATAAAATGCCTAGAAATAAATGTAACAAAGAACATGAAAGACATATACACTGAAAATTACAAAGCATTCTTAAAATGGATTAAAACACACACACATAGAAACCATGCCATTTTGAAGGGAAGAGCTGCTGTGACTAGGAGCCCAGCCTCAACAACACCAGAACTGGCCTTATACACCATCTGGGATCCTAGAGCCACTCTGGCTAAAGACCTGCTACCTCAGTTGCAGACCCATGGACACCGAGACACCAGCATCCCTGGCTGCAGGCTTCTCTTGAGTACTAGAGGGTGCAATACTCCTGCCGACACACCACTGCTGCCACCATCCCCGCACGTCCCAGTGCTCGAGCACTCTGATGACTCTTGTGGTATGCAATCTACCTGCCAACCTGCTGCTGCCACCACATTTCACACATGTCCCAGCACCTGGGCACTCTGGTGAATTTCAGGGTACACAACACTCCTGCTGCTGTGGACACAGGTGCTGCATGTCCTGATGACTGGGCTCTCCACTGACTCTCAGGATGTGCAACATTCCTGCCAACCAGA